AAAGCCAGCAGCTTGCTTTGTTTTTTTCTCAATGTAGCTAATTGCTACCCAGTGACCAATCATTCTACTAGCCCTTTTCCTGAGGGATACAATGTTGGGATGCTATGTTGGAGAGGCTGTTATAGAACTTACTGCTACGTTCTGTAATCATGTCAGAATTCCCTGGTTGGATGGAAGGGGTGCCTAAACCCCATAGCCAATAGAAAAAAGTCAGAAAAATCTTCCCTAGGCAATCTCTCAAAAGGGACCATTTCTCCATAATTGGAAGCTAATGGTACAAATTCTAATAACAGTTATCATAGGCGCTGGAGCCAGATTGCCAAGTTCAAGGGTAGCTCCCCAGCTTAGGGGCTGTATGACCTTGAGCAAGTTTCATGACCTTCTTTGCTTCAGGATCCACATCTGTAAAGTAGGAACAGCATTTGTACCTTCCTCTTATGGTCTTTGTGGAGATGCAATAACATGATAAAGTGCTAGCATAATTCTGGCACAAAGTAAGTTCTCCATCAGTGTTTCTTGGTTAGATGGTATGTATCAGGCCCTGTGCTCAGTTTTCTCAGCAAAGCTACTGAGTGAGTTGCTCTCTCTAACATTTAAGAAGGGAACACTGATTGGAGAAAGGGGAAGTGACGCCCCCAGGCCATGTGGCCAGTAAGTGCTCCAGCCAGGATTCAAGCCCAGCTCTGCTGGCTCCAAAAATTCTCTTACACCATAACAGCTTCACATGTTCTACCTGTGTACCTCCTAGAAGTTTGAAAAGCCATGTACTTTCCTGAGCATTTTTATATAGGCAAATAAGCATTTCCGTTGTGATGTTAAGTAGTTACAGAGAATGTGGTTTTGCGAGTATATTGAACATAGGCAGTTAGGAATAAAACTGTTATATCACCTTTTAATGCAAAGAAATTTAAATACCATCATAACTAGATACCCACCAATATCCATAAAAAAATATATGAACAAGTTATTTAAAAGAACCTTATATGCCTCCTTTTTCTTCTTTAAACATGCATTTCCACTGTACTTCCCCCCAAAGAAATGTTAGAAGCTTTTTTGATCATTTTACAACAAATAGAATTTCCTCCCATGTATATATGACTATAAGAGTTTAAAATTTTCTTGTGGATATAATTTCTTTAAAATTAATAGAGCACAGTTCACTGAAATAACACTGACATATAATTCTGACAAGTAATGATTAAACATAAAAAGTAAAACTTTATTAGAATTTCATATTATAATGAGGTAGGGGCAGGGGCATTTGTGGGACCTTGATTGACAGTACCGGCCAATTGTCCCTCCCAAAAGTATTTATATCTTGGACAGTGCACCGTAGTAAGGTTCAGGATGGGTGAGGGTCAGTCTTCTGTCTTTCTTTTGCAAAGGGGAGGAGAACCTAGGCCAGTGATGGCGAACCTTTTGAGCTCGGCGTGTCAGCATTTTGAAACACCCTAACTTAACTCTGGTGCCGTGTCACATAGATAAATTTTTTGATATTTGCAACCATAGTAAAACAAAGACTTATATTTTTGATATTTATTTTATATATTAAAATGCCATTTAACAAAGAAAAATCAACCAAAAAAAATGAGTTCGCGTGTCACCTCTGACACGCGTGTCATAGGTTCGCCATCACTGACCTAGGCTGTGGGTATCTCCTTAGATGATTTGATTTTAGGAAGGAACATGCACGGAAGTTAGAGATGGGGAAAGCTTCCTTTAAAACTGTTTCAGAGAGTCCTTAGGACGCCTGTTTGAAAGGGCTGCTTGGTACCGCTGAGCCGTGTTGCTTTGGGACAGGGAGATTGACAAGCCGGACCCGATGTTGCCCCCATTTTCAAGGTGACTCACTCCCGCTTCCTTGACAATGAAGCCTGGTGCTGTTTAGCTCTTGGCTTTATCCCAAACCACAGTAATTGTCATTGGAGAGTCACGAAGGATGTTCATTGAAGGAAGCCCAGGGAAGGGCAAGATGGCAAACCTGAAGTGAGGCTGGACTCTGGAACTTTCTAGCCTCTCTACCTGCTCTCCATTTAGGGCCGCTGATGGGGTGGGATAAGCTGCCCATATTCTCCACAGCCTCAAACCTGTGGGCCCGGAGCTCCGCTGCCGGGTTTCCTGGCGCCCGGGAGAAGGTGGACAGCTCTCCTGTTGCTTTTCTACACCAAACAGCCACGCTGCAGCTTCCCAAAGGGGCTGGTTATGAGCAGGAACAAGAAGTGTGGGCTGTGTATTTTCTTTTTTTAATATATTTTATTGATCTTTTTACAGAGAGGAAAGAAGAGGGATAGAGAGTTAGAAACATCGATGAGAGAGAAACATCAATCAGCTGCCTCCTGCACGCCCCCTACTGGTGATGTGCCCGCAACCAAGGTACATGCCCTTGACCAGAATCAAACCTGGGACCCTTGAGTCTGCAGGCCGACGCTCTATCCATTGAGCCAAACCGGTTAGGGTGGGACTGTGTATTTTCTAAGTTTCTTCAGGATACTCTGTATGGTGACTGCCCCACATGTAGTAAATGCTCAATAAATGTTTACTGGAGGTTTTATCTGGGGGTCACTGTGAGGTCATACATTCCTGTATGTATTTCCTAATTGATGACATGGAGCCCACCTAACCTCATGACTTTAGCAGATCCGATTAGTCTCAATATAAAGTAATCTCAGTTCTTTAGGGAGGGTGGTGGGGAACAGCTATTGAACTCTGACAAGGAGCTATGGAGCAGGCATGGATTTAAATTGAGAGCATTTTTTAAAAAGACCCCACAATGTTGATTAGGTTGATTGTACTTAACCCCGGTTTTCCAGTGTTTGCCCAAGGTTACTGAACAGCTACAAATCCATCATGTGCTTCCACAGATGGCCATCTCTCTCTTCTCCTCCTCCGACTCCATGTTCTTTCTGCTCTTCACTCCTTTCTGGCCATCTTCCCTCTCTCGGAGTCTTGCCTTGAGTCTGTGGACTTAACTGGGGCGCTGGAGGTTGCCATGGGAAACACAGCTGTTGTTCTTCCTCTATGAAGAGTCAGTGCAGGAAGGCGCTCGAATCCTCACCTCTAGCCTCTCCCTGCTGTGCGTTTTCACAGACATCATCTAAACTGGGAGCCTCGGGGGGCTCCATGATGCAGCTCAGCTTTCACTGTGTCTCTGAAGGGGGTTTCTCTGACCCAAGGCCGACACCCATGTAGCTGCTGTGGAAAATTGTGAAGAATCGCCAGCCAGCGTGGTCACCAAATAAGCCATGTGACAGCAACATTCATTTTGTTAGTAAATAGGTTCTGGGAAGTGAAAGATGATCTTGGATTTCCCAGGAGGGGAGGTAGGAAAGATAATGAGAAAGAGGCTGAGGGAGGAAGAATGAAAGGGGTGGGGAGAGACAGAAGGGGTTAAGAGGTAAGGGAGAGGCACAAGAAGGAGGAATGCCTTAACAGGAAGGGGTGTGGGGAGCCGATATAGGATATAGGATTAAGCCTCCGACTGACCTGTTGGCAAAGTCACAAACAAGTCCCAGCTTAGAGGGCACAGTCCTCTTAAGCATAATTAGGCTTGACCTTATGACCTCCCTAGATCTTACCTGGGAAGCTAATGGGCTGAGGAAGTGCAGCAAGAGCAAGAACAAAAACAAGTGAAACTCACAAGAACAGTGTAAACAAGTGACACTCACAAGAACAGTGTAAACATGACACTCACGGGGCAGCAAGTGCTGCCAAAACAAGCGAAACTCACAAGAACAGTGTAACTATGGTGACCACTACCTTGTTTACCTCTGACTATAAAATAAAGGCTCAGTTTGCCTCAGATCTTTCTCTATGGCCTCAGCCAGGCACAGGAAGATCCACGGAGACTAAAGAGAGCTAGAGAGCTATGAATGCTGTCTCCGTGTAAAACATTCTTCGCCGACTCCGTCCACACCTTTGGGAACCCCTGGACCGCTGGGGCTGGACCCCGGCAAAGGGGGGTCAGTAATGGACAGCTACCGGCAACTCCGTGAGCCTTCCTTATATTCCCAGTAACATCTGTGATCCAGCCCTGACTGATCCCATTTTTTTCTACCAGAATCCTTCCTTCCTCACTTCTTTCACTGTTTTTCCTACACTCTAAGCATGCTCCTACCCCAGGGCCTTTGTCCTTGCTGTTTCCTCTGCCTGGAATGATCTTCCCTAGAGAGCAACATGGCTCCCTCCCTCACTTCATTCAGGCCTATACTCAAATGCCACCCCCTGAGAGGCCTTCTATGACCACCCGACCTCAACTAGCACACCGTCTATTCTCTACCCCCTTACCCAACTCAGGTTTCCATCATGTCTGATACAAAGGAGTGATTTAGTGAATATTTATTGAGCAAATAATTAATCACTAACTCCCAGGCCCAGAACACGGGAGTCGCACATTTACCCATATATACTTTGCACTCTCCCCTGAGAGATTTTGCACAAGCTGAACTCTCTGACTAGGGCACAGCTCTCTCCTCCCCACACCCCACTTCTGCCTGGTAGAGTCCCACAAACCCTCAGGTCCTGCCTTGTTTAGTAGTCTCTCCTTTTTGACAGCTCCCTTGACTTCCCCAGGTTAACACAGGACCTGTCTGACCAACACTTCCTGGGCAGTGCCTACTGACCTCCATCACAGCACACATCACCGGCATGACATGTCTATTTAGTCTCCCATGTCCCAAGTGCATTCTTCCAGGGCCTAGAATATGGAGCGACTAAGGTCTTAGACTCCAGAGACGAGGAGTGCCAGGCATGAGCTCTTGCTGTGTGACTTTACATAAATTACTTAACCTCTCTGGCCTAAGTGATGGTGACATTTTTTTTTAAAGAGTAAAATTAAAAGGAACAGAAGGGAATAGGAACAGCATGACTTATGTCTCTTTCTCTTGGAGCTCTTTCTGATGTGCTTATGGTTTTATGTGTGAACATAAAGGACATAAACATGCTTGCTCTTTTCCGGGTGCAGAGCGTTGGTCCTAAAAGGATGTATTTCTCTTTTTTCCCAGGTGCCTGTCCTCAGACCCATGGACCTGATGGTGGAGGCCACCCCGCGAAGAGTATTTGCCAACGCACACACATATCATATCAACTCCATATCAGTCAACAGCGACTATGAAACCTACATGTCAGCTGATGACCTGAGGATTAACCTATGGAACTTTGAAATAACCAATCAAAGTTTTAGTATCCTTTCCTTGGGGCCAATAACCAATTGGCTTGAATTAGGAGTATTCAGGTAAGAGCAGGCTTGGGCAAAAGTGGAATGAAAGGAGTTGTCATAACTAAACACCTAGCACTTGTGGGAAACTGTCGTCTTTTAAATTACATTGGCATCTATGATGCTCTTTCATCCTAACAACATTGGGGAAGCATTGAGTTACAAGTTGTGGGCCAGGACGAGCTCAGGATTGGAACTCTGAATCAATTCCTTCATACAGACGCATTTGTGTGTCTTGAATTAAAACTAGATGTGACTTTATCAACTATAAGCTAGGACCCTAGACTTCAGTTAAGGGTTTCTTCTCTTGTTGAAGTATTCTTCAATGGCCTGTCTGGACAGCATGGACCACAGGTATGCATCATGATTTTTATTGTATCATAATAATGGCTGCCATTTATTGAGTTCTAAGCACTGCACTGGGAACTTTTTGCATAGAATCTCATTTGGAGATGTGCACATATAATATTAGAGCTTGATGGATTTTCTTGGACAAAATACACCTGTGTAACCAACATCCGGATCAAAAACCAAACTTTATTTGCAATCCTCAAGTCCCCATCACTCTTTTTTTCCATCTCTATCCACCAAGGGTATATTTGATATGACCACCCCATAAGGTCAGTATTATTAGCTCATGTTTAGTTAAAATTTAATGAAGTAAAGGAAATTGCTGAGTGAGTGTCTGAGCCAGTATTTTTACTGCACTATACTGACCCTCTGATAATACAAGTCAGACATTTATTCAGTACGTGTCATGTGAACCATCCCACCACAAACCTGGAAATCTCAATCTCAGTTAATGGTTGCTCTACCCAAACAGCTGAACAACTGATGTAGGAGTCAATTTTCTTTTTCTCACTCACTAACCTTCCTACCTCCAACCCAATCTACCCTTGAGCCCTACCTTTTCTTCCTGTAAATTATATCTCAAAACAACTCGTTTCTCTCCATCTGTACTCCTACCAGCCACACTAGTAAAGTCCACTGTTTTCTCACCTGTGTGACTGCACTCATCTATATGGTCTCCTTCTTTCTTGCTGTCTTAGAAATGCTTGTTCCCTTACAGGGGAGACCTTTCAACATGTAATCTGGGTAACATTTCTCCCCTGCTTAAAACACTCTACTAGCTTCCCATTGACATAGAATAATATCCAAGTTCTTTACCCTGGACGGGAAGATGCCACACAATCTGGACCCTGCCCCCTCTGTGGTATCCTGTTATATCACTCTTTGCTAATTCACTCTGCTTCAGCCAACTAATTTTTTTTTCTGTTCCTGGATACACCTTGTTGTTACTTTCATGCTTTGCATTTGCTGTCCCCTCTTTCTAGAATATTCTTCCCCCAGAGTTCACATGGCTAACTATCTGTCATCATTCAGACTTCAATCTCATGCCACCTCTCAGAGGTATTTCCATTAATTCCCAAGTAGCCCCCAATAACCCTCTATCCCTGTTATCGCAATAGCACTTACCACTATTTAAAATTGTTTCTTTATTTATATATTTGGTATTTCCCCATATATGAATGTAAATTCTATGAGGAAATTGACTTTTTATTATCCCTTTATGTATCCCAGTACCTGGAACATTCTGACATATTGGAAATTCCATTTGGGTTGAACATGTCAAATTTGAAGTATTAGTAAGTCTTCCAAGTGGAGATATTTAGTAAATAGCTGGTTATTAAATCTAACCTGGAAATTTTAAGAAGATATTAGACTCTAATAATTAGAGTAAAGCTTTGAATGTTCTGATATAAAATAGACCCTCACAATGGCTCAAGCATATAAAAGATTATTTCTCTTGTAAAGTCTAGTATTGATTATCCCCATCACCAGACCGACTCCTCCAATTCAGAGATTCGAGTTTCTTTCATCTTGTCATCATGTTTATCTGCATCAGGACAGCAAAGGGAGAAGATTGTGGTGGACCACACTAGGGAAGCTCCTAGGAGCCAAGCTAAAATAGTGTGCATTCCATTGGCTAGAAGTGAGTCATATGGCTACCTCTAACTGCAAGGCAGGCTGGAAAATGTAGTGTAGCTACTGGTACATGTGCATAAGAAGAAAAGACCTGGTTTTGGCACACAGCCATCTAGTCTGCACCACAGAAGAGTGTTCAGTAGCTCCACAAGGCTTTGCAGGGAGGGCGGTTTTAAGCAGGTAGAGGTGATTTGGGAGACACTGAGAACTGGCCATCAGGACCATGACTGGCAGCTTTTGCTGCTCACAAAGCCACCTCCACATACTGTCTGAGCCTGTGAGAACCTGCCTACAGATTTTGCCTGGAAGTGCAGCTGCTAATAGAATGAGTGTGGGTGGTGGTTCCCTTTCTCCCTCTACGTCTATTCCAAGAGCCAGAAATCTGCTCGGGCTCAGCTGCTGTCACTCGGAACTGCTGCTGTCCCCAATCTAGATGACACGTTTTCTGAAATTTGCCTCTAGGCTTTCAAGGGGAAGGAAGTTTCTTGAGGCATTTGGGGAGACAGACGCCTTGGGGAGAATGCAAAGGGGAAATATTAATAGCACAATTTAGGTTATATTCTGCAGATGTCAGACAGCCTGCCAGATGCTAGCATACAAATGAGACTGTGTCATTCACCCTTAAAGCAGCCATATGTAAAAGAATCATTGTCATCATGAGAGTGATGATCACTGATATCTATATAGTTGTTTTCAACCAGACCACCCTAAGCACTGAGCAGAATGTACAAACCAGGGCCCTGTTGCTCATCGTCACTGAAGTGCAGCCACCTCTAGGGTAGGAAGTGACCACCTTTCAAAACAGCCTCAGGAAAAGATCAGCCACCAGGCGGGTCTTATTAAATCCTGTGTCGTTTAGCACCATTTCTCCAATGCCCGATGGTTCAGGATGGAGTGATGTGGGGTTCCCACAGCATGGCATGAGTACCACTGAGGTGGTAGGCACAGTCTTCTAAGCCAGTGATGGCGAACCTATGACACGCGTGTCAGAGGTGACACACGAACTCATTTTTTTGGTTGATTTTTCTTTGTTAAATGGCATTTAAATACATGAAATAAATACCAAAAATATGTCTTTGTTTTACTATGGTTGCAAAGATCAAAAAATTTCTATATGTGACACGGCACCAGAGTTAAGTTAGGGTTTTTCCAAATGTTGACACGCCAAGCTCAAAAGGTTCGCCATCAGTGTTCTAAGCACTAGGTAAACTATTTTTGTTTTCATAGTTACAAATTTATGATGATGAATAGTATAAAATACAACTATCAAGCCTATGACTTCCTAGGCACTGAAAAATCCCTTTAAATTAAAAAGTATGTTTGTGTAAAGAAAATCATTAAGTGAAAAGTAAGACAAGTGATCTTGTGATATGGTTTTTTGTAAGTCTTAACTTCCAGTGACTAGCATTTGGTGTGACATTGGAATTATGGTTGAGAACACAGGCTTCGCGTCCAACCAGCCTAAAGTTCTCACCCAGCTCAACTACTTGCTGGCTGTGCAAACTTTAACATGTGTCTTAACTTATCCAACCCTCTCCTTCATGACGTGTAGAGAGGAGGTCTATCAAACAGGATTGTGAGAATTTGTGAGTGTTTTTAATATTGATTGATTGTGTGTATATGAACACACGCATACAGATATACCTAGGGCAGTACCTTGCTCAGAAATGACCCATAAACAGGGACCAACACAATCCTAATTATTATCGAGAGGACAAAGAAACAGGAAAGTTGAATTTGGAATGGTGAATTTTGCTGAATTCATTACCTGGGTCAAGTTCTCAGTTCTAGGCTTCTTTGGTTCCGCAGTGGAGTTCTCTTTGCAAAGTGTCGCTCATTCTACCCTAGTTACCAGGTACTTGCAGGATCTCTGAGGTTCAGGGCCCTGTGTTTAGCACCATATCAAAGTGAGGCATCCTTAGCCTCCTGACACCTAGTCTTGATTCTCTCCTTTCCATCCACAGCTAGTCTGTCCCTGCGTGACAGGTTCTGGTTTAAAGTGGTCAAATGCTGGCCTTACTGGGTTAACTACATCAGGACAATAATAACTCATTTCTAGATAAGTGATTTTCTAGGACAGTACAGAAAAATTGCTGTAAAAATATATTGCTTCTTTACGAAAACTACATTATACCTAGGACCCTTTGAACTCTCTTCTCAGGACTAAGCATGAGTTGAACTGGCTCTTCCCCAGTCCAATATGGGACCTATTAAATATATGCATGTCGAGTACAAGTAAAGACTGACCACAACAACTATACCCTGCGCACCTAATTTGTGCCAGACACTGCATAAGTTACGGGGATATGCCAGTGAAAAGAACTGTCTGCTTTCAGAATGACTTGCATCCAATAATCAGACTATTGAATCTGTAACTACAAATAAGTCCATGAATGCATTTTTAAAAACCTACTATAGACTAGGGAATAAAAGAAGGCTTTGCTGAGGAACTGAGTACTGAATTGAGACCTTAAAGAGGAAAAGTGTGAGTTAACCCGGAAAAGAGGTTCAGCATGTACAAAGGTCCTGTGGCAGGAGGGAGCACGGGTGTGTTGGAGGAACTCTAAGAAGGCCACTGTGACTAGGGGCCACAGAGTGAGGTAGAACACGGTGCAAGCAAGACTGGAGAGTTCTGCAGAAGTCCAGCCTCTGGACATGAGAAAGAGGATTTCTCTGGGAGAAGCCAACTAGAGTACTTCATCTTGGACCTCGTTGTTATCAGCCCTGTGAATCAGCCCTTTGTGGGTTGATTCCCTGATCAAGGGACCATGTAACCTCAATTGGTGGCTTTCAGCTGTCACTCCTTAGTACCATGGACAGCAGCCTTTTTTAATCCAGTGAGAACCTGCCAGGCAGGCTTTGAGGGAAGCTGTAGGCCTAGTACAAATCTCTCTCCCTTGTGGCTGCTGCGCTTTTATCCATAAATGTGCATGTCAATCTCAGACTGGCTTTCAGCATAAAAGGAGAGCATTTTTTCCAA